CAGTCATTACATAGATATTGTTATAAAAGGAAACACTGTCTAGTATTGTAAAGTTCTGATAACCTATTCAGGATATATTTAAAATACCATTTCGATGAACAATCCAAGCCATCCCAACATAGGCAGTGCTACCATCTGCCTAATAAAATATGAAATACTGGAAAAAGATAAAAAACACACTATGTAAAATGAAATATGAAATAATAATCCTTCAACAAAGAATAATATAATAATACCAGTCACAAATAATTGCATCAGATGTATATAGTAATATCAGAGATGACAGAATTTTATGACCGGATTAATCTTGTCTGGACATATCCAATGCTGCTTTAAATCTTATCTTGCAGTATGTCCTGCACTAATTAAAAGTTGTAACATGTCAACCGGTGTTGTATTAGCAATAATTAGTAAAAAAAAAAAGACAAGTCATTTGACCCCTGAAACTGACTTAGACTAAGATTGCTATGAGTGGTGTGAAGGGTGATTCAGTGATAACTTCTCTATTCATTGATTATCACGAGTCCCTTGTAGGATTACTTTAAAGTAACTGGTGATTTTAAAGTGAAGTAAAAATCTTGTAGAAAATTAGTTTCACATGGTGACAAAGGAAAAGTAGTTTCTACTACTCCAGTGCACGATCCTCTGAAAAATAAGCATACTTACGACTAAGAATTTGCAACAAATTTTAAAGTCTATTGCACCTAATACTGAAAGTCAGAGGATGGTAATAGGCAAAAATGATTGCACTGAATAACCAACAGTACTCCATTGTTGCAGACGAAAGGTTTGTTTGCTTGATAACAAAGCATATCCACCTACAAATTACTAAGGAAAACTTACTTTACTGAAAACAATTGTTCAGATAAATGACATATGCAAGACTGCCATCACTTGTCAGATTTCAAATGGCAAGGCCATTTCTCTACCATCGAACATTTGGTTATGCCAAAAAACAAACAATTTCATTAGATTCACAAGACACTGGATTACAGAAGTGTGTATATGCAGCTTGGTTTTATGAAGTCAAAAAACAAAAACAGTTGCTTCTACAAAGTGTAGTGGCTATTGTTATTGCACATTCCTTATTAACTTTAATCATTGAACATGAATGTTTAAGTGAGAAATTCTATTGAAAAATTGTGATATGTGTTTTACAAGAATGCAAAACAAAAATACCTAGACTAAATAAAACAGTTTCTGGTAACTGACTGACAAACTTTACTAGTAAAAAACAATGCTTTATGTTAAAAAACTTAAAATGAATACTTAATTCTTTTAAAACACTAGGATTGCCAGTTTATCAAAGACCAGTTAAAAGATACTCAATCAGACAGATAAAGATTTCAATAAGTAATTAGAAAACTGTAATGTTCACTTACCATACAAAAATTGTTTTAGTTCACTTTCAGTCTAATACGATTTAACATAAGAAAGCATGATCATATGTTTTAAAAAATATTAAAATTAACAAAACCAAAAAAACATATGCTACTTTAACCGAGTTTAACAACTTTTGTAATCTTTACAAAAAAATCAAACTTCTTAGTGTTAATAATACTACTACTACTAATAATAATAATGATTAATAAAGTTATTAGTTAGTATACTTTCTGTGTGTAACTCTGTTATGTATAAGTTCCTACTTACCAGTACTTAAAGTATGTTTTACATCATACTAATTCTGGTAAATATGAAAGTTTCAACTATTCAACTATCAAAAAAGTGCTACAATCCAGACAAATCACATATTAGGGAAAAAAACAAACTATCTAGCAAATAATAATAGAATACATGTTTCAGACCTAATAAGTAAGATTATAATGTATTCCACTTCTTCAACAGTGATTTAGGAACACACTGTATGAATATATTGTATAGAGTGACATAAATTATATTGTCATAATACACTCAATATTAGCTGTATGAGAAAAATATGATATATCAAGTGTTTTAAATGTAAGAGAAGTTCTAAAATAGGTTTTAATAATGCTTTTCAGAAGCCTTACCAACAGTGTCTACCATATCATCTAACTTCTTCTTCTCCCCAGACTGAAAAAAAGCAGACAAAAATACTTATTAACTGAAAAAAAAACTTTGGTTAATTTCTAGCAATTACAAAGAACCATATAAACAATTGCCTTTAACCCTTTCCCCATGGGTAGGTCAAAGTGTGAATGTCACCACCTTTCATAGTTACATTAAAAATGTAATGAAAGTACTTTATTATCAATGTATATGAACCAACTTGGCACCAAAACATAGATAATAAATTAACTATTAATATTATATACATTTTAATTTCTTTATTTCAAAAGGACATGTTTAAATAAATTACTGTATATGTATCGTGACATTTGTTCACCTTCATTTGCCTATCCTTTCCTTTTTTCGTCACTCTTTTCATTTTTTTTAAAAACTGACAATGTAAAAAAAAAAGGTTGGGTTATTCATTTGTTTAGTATATAAAGGATAATTTGTAATGTCCGTTTCACAGGTTTCCTGACATTTGTGGATATGGATTATCCTGACCTCCAATGTCACCTGATTTGAACTCTTAATTTCTCTGTGTATCTTCATTAACTAACCAAGATACTATTATAGGAGCTTAAGGATGCAGTAACTCTGGAGGTATATGTAATTTCAAAAGACACAATTCAAAGTGCTCTATGTAATGCCATCAGCAAGAAGGACATAGTGAACATGTCATTCACAGTTAATTGAAACCTCCTAAGTGCTGTTTACATGTATTACAACATAGTTATTATAAATAGAAAATGTTTGATGTACAAAAAACTACTCTATATAATACTTACTTAAAACTTGAGTGGCTGTTTAACACTAAACACTGACAATAATTTAGTATCTTACCATTAAAGAGTTTATTCTACAGATCTTCCATTATTGACAGGCATAAAAAATAAGACTTTGATGCTTATCATTAGTTCTTATAGCTCTTTCTAATTATTAAACAATTTCTTGTTAAAAAATATCACATCTACTTCTCAGAAAATCAAAGGAATTGACAAATTCATAAAATATATTATTTTATCCTTTGGGATGGAGTGGTTGAAATGAATAAATAAAATAAAATATAACAATATACACAGTTTCAATGAATTTTCTTCTTCTTCTAATATATCTTTGTCTTTTATTAAAATCCTAGTTTCAGTCATTTTGTGTATCAAATGATTTTACTTGTGGAATTTGAATACTTCACCTAAACTATTACATGTTATAAATGCATTGCATTTTTTTATGTAACTTTACAAGCACAAAATCATAAAAAGGCCTACCAGGTTTGCTTATAAAAAATCTTACTCAGAATTAAAACCTTATCTTTTTTTACTTCTTCACAGAACTGCCTCAGTTACGCTAAAATATTTTACATGTAATGCAAAATTTAATGTAGAAAACCCGAATATAACATATTTGAGTTCAGAATTAAGCCAACATTTTCTTCTTTCTGCACTAAAGATAATTCTTTGGTCTATTTCCTAGTCTCCTACCCAACCATTTCCACTCCATGTAGATGTATGTACACCTGGATTAATGTTAATACAGTGGAGATATTGACACACAATGTAACTGCTACACTTCGGTACTCAGAGAACACCTTCACATAGATGTAATTAACAAAGCACTACGTGCTAGCACATCAATCTATGCCTTGAAACGTCAATACATCAATCCTGCTTTTATTTCTCATCTATAATACACGTCTGAAATTAATCCAAAGCAAACAATATATAATCACCTTGTTAACTTATTGGAAAATTAATTAAATCACATTATTACAGGTCACTAAATGGATATCAGCATATAATCATGCTTTTTAAAGTAGCTATTCATCATTGTAGCTGGGCAATTAGTATTATATGCTAATTGATTAACTGATGACTCTATTAATCAATTAGTACAGTGTTCCTCAAACAATGACAACAACAACAAAAAAAAAGAGTTGGTGGCAGATACTGCTAGCTGGTTGATTTTCTCAAACTACCATTTCAATAAAAAATAAAAACAAACTGAAAAAAGATTAGGAATAAGCGCTGCTAGACATTTGCTGTTCCTATGGCTGGCAGTGCAGAAAAAATAAAATAAAAAAGGTTGGTGGTGTGTGTTGCCACCCAGTTGCTTTCTTCCTAGTCAGTAGTTGAAGGCTAAAAATTGACAGAGCACAAACAGCTTGCTATTTAGCTTTGTGCTACTTAACAACAAACATAACAGCAATATTTCAATTATTTGGATAATTTTGTCACATTAAAAACAGCAATAACCAGAAACACTCATTTTGATTAGTTGATTACTTTCTCGATAGGTGAATATCATTGGAATTTCGATTCAGCAATTGTTGGAATAATCAAAAACAGTAACAATCAGAAACACTTAATTTCAAATAAGAGATATAATCATAATTTCAAATGATCTATTAGTTTACATGACACTAATTGATGTAATTGCTGCTCATAGGAAACTGACTAAATCACTCAGCTCTAATAATCATATGACTAAATGTACTGCTTGGGCTAGATAAGGGTTACTGATAAATTCCTTGAAAACAGTTTATCTTACATGAGTAGACTGAAACAAGATACGCTCCAACCTAGAAAAGGATGAAACAATGAAAATAGATCAAGCCTTCACTAACATTTGTATGATTTATAGTGAGTGAAGAAAACAACTCTGAATACTATTGAAAAATATAAATGGTTCTACAGTTATATGTCTCACACAATTTCTGATACTAGAAAAACTGCTACCTACGAACATGCAGAAGAAAAAGAAATGAATAACTCTGACAGAGACCTCTAAAAGTAAATCTGAATAAAAAATAAGCAAATTCTGTGCTAACCATCTTTAATTTTAGAGAGATAGACAAGAGCAGTGCTTCTCAACTGGGTGAATGATTCACCCAGAGGCTAATGAGATCAGAATCAGGATGAATGAGTATTATCAATTATACAACAAATTCAAGAGCAAAAAAAGTCATTAGTCATTATTATTTATTATATTTGTAGTTTGATAAATACATTTATTTTATTTTATATTCATTCTAGTTGTAGTTTGATGTATATTTAAGTCATAATAAAGAATTTTTTCATTTTAATTTAGTACTTTTTTTGTCTTTTTTGAACTGGGGTGAGTGAGCTGTTGTGAAAAACTTATAAGGATGAATGATACTGGAAAAGTTTGAGTAGCACTAGATAGAGGAATAGTAAATACTCAAAATCACTCACCACCACCCCATGGGCTACCCTAATTTAATAGTAGGATTTGACCATCACTCTTATAATGCACTCAAGGCCCCAAAGTGTGGAGTGCTATCTTTAGTTTAGATAGTAAAGAGTCTCAGATTCACAGTATGCCAAGCTAATCACTGGGTTGCATTTAGCCCTATGCTATTAATAGACTTGTATACAAATACACATGCAAAGAATATACAACTTGTATGATATTTAAGCATTAGGTATTACTGCCACTATATTTTTCAGTCTTTCATGACCTTACTAAAATACAAGTTATAAAGTTGTAGGTATATCCATAGCTGCTAGTGACAAACCTGTTATTACTAATTAGCTTCTCATCATTCAAACTTGCACAAAGAATATATGGTCTTTACTTCAATGATAGAACTCAACTAAATTTTTGGCTTAGAAACAGCAAGAAAAAATCATCAATGCATCAGTGATGCAGGAGTGTTCATCAATACTCCTCAGTAATTACTGAAGTTGCTATATGTATCTGAACTAGCATGCAAGGCTATATTAATGCTAACAAAAACTAATATCACGATTTCACCCATATATACACTGTGGAGTAAATACAGTTACACAAACTTTAGTCCACTAGTTTTGAAATTCAAAATGCTTCCTGAAATAACCTTTAAAGATATTAATAAAAAGTGATGGAAAGAATGGCAACAACTTAGTCTCAATCAAGTAACATTTGTAACTTACCAAATATCTTGAATATAAATGAAGAAAGTGAGTCTTGGGAGAAACACAGTTCTGTGAAAAATAAGCAGCTCTGTCATATTCCTGTACATCGAAATAGCTTTTTGCTAATAGGTATTTATCCCATTCCTTCATTGAGTCCTAAAAAAGAAAAGGGAAACCTTTGTTACTTTATTTTCTCTCAGTAATTTAGACAAATACGTGAGATTAAAGGAATACATGTACAAAATATTTTTAAGTGAAAGCAATATTATATACACACATATATACATTTCTATATACAGCATTTGCAAGTTTTTAGTTTGGTCAAGAATGAATCAAACTCAGCTCCCTTTAATGGTAGGTCAGTTCATGTATTAAACCAATTCAGCTAACAATTATCTATACAAGATACTGCATGCTAAATACAAATTAACAGCGGTTTTCAATGAAATTAGAACATGGAATTTAATCAGCTACTATGCATTAAGAAATAATCAGTGTCATGAAATATCAGTAAAAAATGTAATTTCTTCATTTATACTATTTATAAGTTTAAGATTAATCTTATAATAATGACAGTAGGATAGTATTAAACCACTTAGACTAACAATTACCTACACTAGATCTAACTCAAAATTCAAGAATTCTTTAACTTAAAAATGCACATACTGTATATATACACACAGATATATGGCATTATTCACCTTGTTTAACAGTTCAGACAAAAATATAATTGTAAGTTTGCCCATGAATTGTAGCATTATCTAAACAACTGTACAACAGTATCTAACATCTTAGTGAGAGCACAAAAGATTAATAAACAATGTTAATCTGAACTTATGAAAAAAATTAGCATTGTACTTTCTACAGATTAATATATGAAAACGTTTTGAAATGCTGTAGACTATATTTGTATAGTGTGTTGCCATTGATTGTTATGGACCTTACCTGCTTATTCATGACAAAAAGCAGAACTGAATATAAAATTTTAATATCTCATACTTGTTGCCTAATAACTTGTTGTAACTTAAAAAAGAAGATATATTAAACAGTAACATTTTTATATCTATCAGTATTCTTAGTAATTAACAATTAATAGTCCTTCACATGATTATATTCGTTAATCATTAACTTCTGAATTTCACAGTGCATTTAAAGTAAAACTTTATAACTTATTAAATCCCTATACTTTATAAATATGATTTAAACAGCAGAAGCATGAGCATGGAAATTTTTACATACCTCTGATTTGAATACAAAATTGCCAAATTAAAAGGAATGTGCAGTTTAAGTGGTTTTTTTTATCAATTCTAGGCCTATTGAATTCATACAAATACTGAAGGGAAAAAGAAAAATCAAAAGTACACAATATATATATGTTCTTCAGCATGAAAAACAACATATTTTATTGTGTCATACATATTTTGTCAAGGGACCCATAATGGAACTGGAATAAAATGAATAACAAACAATGAAACACTTATGGCACGTAAACATTGAGACTACTTAAAACAGAAGTCTTAAGTCTAACACTACAATAAAGATGGTCAGTGCCACATTAAAGCCCAACATATTTCATGTGTGCGAGAGTGTGTGATACATTTTGTTTCTTTTTTAACATATGTTTTAATCTTTCTTCTGCTGAACTCATATCTTTTTCTTACAAACAAATTTTTTTGATTATACTGTTATTGTGATAACTTATATGTATCCCAGTTTTACAAGAGAATACCACATATGCACAGTATTCCAACAGTAAAACATTTTTGAGTTTTGACCCATACCCAATGTGAAAAACAGTAATATTTTTGAACACAAAAATGCATACTATAAAAGAACATTTAAAACTATTCATCTTAAGATCAATACTGGCAGGATCATAAATACATACATAGTAACTAGTTGCTACAGTTCAGATTCCATGTACTGATACTTTAGTAAGCTATGCAGAGAACAGATTCTTATTTTAACAAATCAGGGCACTATCATTAAGTAGAAAACAAATTATTCTCACAGGGTTTTCCTGTGTGAAATGAGGATCTTCTTCTGGTGGGATTTGAATAATGGACAAAGCATAGGACATCTCTGCTGACCTGTTGTCAAAAAAAAAGAAACATATATATTTTTTCATTGATCAAAGTGACAATTTTTATCTGTTTAAAGAAAACCATTGAGAAACAACAATAACACTGAAATTAGTTTGATTAAAAGGTGTTTTTTTTTCAGTAATTAGCTTCATGCAAACAATGATTCTTGGTACG